AGGCATCTGCCAGGTGTGTCGCAGGGAATGTGCACTCAGTCCTTCAAATGGCAACATCTTTGCACACAATGGATGTCTAGGTTCCAAGACGTCTCCATATGGGAACAGTCAACAGCCCCTACAAGCAGAGAAAGCTGACAACTACCCTAACTTCACGTCTACAGAGGACCTAAAATCTGCAATCAAATCCGGTATGAAGCATGCATTTCCCCTCTGGATGGCCACGCTGAGGCGCTGGAACATGAAAGTGCCTGCCCTTGGGACCTTGGTGTGTCGATGAGTCTGGAACCCAGTTCTTTAAGAAAACATGTAGCATATTTTCCAATGATCTCAAGGTCTCTGATCCCACTGGGACTAATTAATACTGTTTGCTTATGTCCCTGTACTTGCCGATCTTGTACTCCTCCCTGTTTTCAGCAGCTCCTCCCTGTCACCAGACACTGTGATGGATGTAGGTATCAGCCAGCGTCGACACACAGGTAGTCCCATGCTAAGAGCTTGCCATTCTTCTAAGGATAGATGGTGATCCCATTGGGGTGGTTGCCTGTTGGCTACTAGCGATCTGGGCTCTCGGCTGGGCATCCAACTGTACCAAGGCTTGTGGCCAACCCTTGACTTTGGAGCAGTTAAGACCATGTAGACCATATTGGCTGGCTTGCGCATTGCCGCAAATACACATATATTCCGAGTTAATTGGGGCAGCAAGGCGGAGAGCCACTGCAATTAAGGAGTCTTAGGGACGAGGCGTGTTCCCATTGCCGAAATGGGAACTGTTTGAAGGATGTCCCCAGAGCTGCACTCACAGCTTGGAGACAGTCTCCTTGTCTAATGATACAGCCCTAAGAATGTTGGCAAGCACCTTTTCAGTGGTGGGGCCATTCCAACTTGACTGTACACCATTGCTGCACTAGGTTTTGGTGCTGGAGCAGCAAGTGTGTCCCATTCAGTGATGGCACTGGTGTAGCTAGGGTTCTGTATGCCTGGGGAGTCACTGAGGTTGTCTGGATGAATTTGTTTTATTAATTCGCTTGAAGCTATGGAAGAGGATAGGAAAGCTGGTAGGGTAATCTGAGAAGATTTGCGTACTCCCAGTCCCCCAAGCCTAACTGGAAGTGAGGCTTGCAACCACTTCGAGGGAAAGATTCAATACACTCTCGAGCATGGTCATAAGGAGGGAGTCATATTCCTCTAGTTTCGAACTGCTGAAGGCTGGGGAGCATCTCAGGAAGTAGATAAGTCTTGGGATTGACATGTGATGTCGTAATGACTTTGATGTCGTAACTTAAATAAAATGTTCCTGGTTCCTAAAGGCTGCTCACACTGCTGTCTAGGGGTTATAAAATTACACTGAAAAAACACAGCAACTCTTGGGCCAGCATGTACTCATATATTAAACAATATTATTTATTATTAGGAAGGAAGGACAAAAGCTCACCTATGTAAAAATATATCTATATTAATAGTGACTTATATACAACTTATAACTACTTCAAAAAAAACCACCGCACTCCAGTTCACATTAGCTCACTAGCACACTGCTACTAATGAGTTAAAATAAATCAGAGAGGCTCAATGACATACCCTCATCTTCGCTTCTGCCTGGTAGACTAATTACCAGCAGGCAAAACACCATACAGTGCTCTCGCATAAACAGGCCTCTGCATACTAGGGCCTTATAAACATGAGAGCACTTAAACACAAACACCTATAGTATACACTAAAAAACTTACCAAACCACCTACTCACACTAACGCCAACCCATAACGACTTCACCCAGCCCCCTTCCTACACGTTCTCATCTGCTCCTGTCCTGGTAGCTGCCTGACTGACAGGAATAAAACGAGTTCACTTTCAGTTCAATCCGGGTACTATGTTATATAAAATATTATTTTCTGCATTTCACTGTGGAACAGGCACCTGGTGAGTAGGCAGACAGTATCATGTGTATTGATGTCTTTCGTCCTGCTTTCCATTGTCCTGAGGGGTGCAGATTTTCTTTTCTAGGATCAGATCAATGGCATTGGGTCCAAGAGGAACACCAAAGAGTGCTGTTGGCTGGATCTTCTCTTCTCTACAGTGCTCCTGGCAAAACAGCACAAATATTCGGGATCATCTGTCGATTGGTGGAAACTGTTTCACATTTGGTGGGGCTTAAAGATAGGCCTAGGCTCTATCCCATGTCTTTAATTTTTCTGATGCCCTCTAGGAGAGATTCTGTAGTGCCAGCTAGGATACCATCATCCAAGAACCAGATATTGAGCTCACTGATGAGTGCTTCTGTAAATTCCTTTATGACCAGACAGAATGGAAATTCCTTTATGACCAGACAGAATGGAAAGGGGGCGAGAGGGTCCCCTTGTTGCACACCCTCACACGAGTCAATTTCATGGCCCCCAAATAGTTCAGAAGTCACACTATAACACGTTTCTATGATGGGATCGAGGGAAGGGAAGAGTCTAGAAACTGCTAGGAGAGCAGCATCACTTCTAAGTAGAAAGCACTGGCAAAGTCCAATTTTATCAAGGCTTTTTCATCCGAGATGATGTTGATGTATACTCGTGCTGCTGGGCAGGTGCTTCACAGCCTTGTTGAGCACCAAAACCGAGCTGAGTTGGTTTCAACATTGCAGCAGCCTCTTGACTCACCCTTCTTACTGCAGCCTTGGCGACTTGGCACCGAAGGATGTTGCCCACCGCAATGGGCCTGATTCCTCCATCCTTTTTCCAGAGGGCACATAGTGAGGCACCAAAGAAAAGGGTCTAATGGCCTCCGGGACACTGCCAGCCAGGCACACATTGGAAAATTTGGCGAGTTCATGCAGCACCCTCTCTGAAATCTTACCATGTGCTGGGTTGAGCATTTGTTTTAAGTGCTGTAACCTTAAACCGGTGGAGCCTCCTGCTGAACCATGTGGAAATGACATAGCTTTATACATATCAGCATCCTGTATGGTTAAATGTTCTTCATCTGCTGCAATGTCAGGGAGGTCAATGTTGGTACTGGGGGCCCTGGGTGGATGTTTGTCCTTCAGGGGTTGTGTTGTAATGACGTCCTTAGAAGCGATGGTATCCTCCAATAGTATTTATTCTCTTCTATTTTTTTGCTAATTTGAGCTCTGATTTTTGAGGCATCAGGTGTGCTGTTCTTGGCATTTTCCTGGCAGGTGTTTGTTGCCCTAGGGGGAAACAGACGAAGCTGTCATCTCTAGGGAATGCATTTATTGCCCTAATAACATATATTGCTAGTGACTTGTTCCTACTTGGTGGTTCAGCCAAACAGGCATTGCCAAAAATCCGTAGATTATGCCAGGATCCGTAGTTTGCAGGAGCATCGTTGACTTTCTTCAAGAGGTCAGCGAATTTGATAGCAGCTTTAGGGCGAGCTGTTGTGGGGGTGTGTGTCATCGTCCTGGTGGATGTTAATTTGACTGTAGATTTAAGGTCCTCTGTAAAGGTGAAGTCAGGGTTGCTGTGAGCTCTGTTAGCTGGGAGGGGCTGTTGGTTATTCCCATTTGAAGCCCTCCGGGTGCCTAAACATCAGTTCTGTGCATGGATGTTGCCATTTGGGGGACTGAGTGTACATTCCCTGCTGCACACCTTGCAGATGTCTCGTGGACGGATTCCACGGCGTTGGCTCTTGTGGAGATTCCTGTGAACCACGCACATCTTGTGACATTGCTGAGATCATGGTCGTGGGAGGACGCCAGCAGTGGAATGACGGGTGAAGGACAGAATGAATGCATGGGGGATGAGGATGGGGGAGTTTGGAGTGGTGGTGGGAGTAACTGGTGGGGCACTAAAAGGCAACACCCTTTGTCAAGCAGGCAGAAGGCCTACACCGGGATGTGGGGAGGGAAGTGGCATTATCTGTTCACTAAGGATGCAAATCACTGAGTAACTTTTGCTGATTGGTACACACTTGTTATTCCATTTAGAGAAACCCTTGTGTTTTGACACACTGATCACCATGTTCTCACTATTGACAGAGGTGTTCTTCTGTTCAGCATTCAATGAGGGAGTCCTAAGCAACCACGCCCCCCTTAACCCCGGCCGAACACAGAGGGTAAACAAACCTCCTCCACACCTCCACTGGCAGGATTCCCTCAAGACCACCACTACTCCCTAAATCCCCATATGCACACTGCATTTGTGGCTGAGTGGATAAGTGTGCTGCCTGGGAATCATTAAGGTCTCAGTAGCAGTATCGAGTCCTGCTGACTGTGATCTCTCTCTCTCAACCACTGTGAAAAAATAGTGAAATTCCAAGAGCTTTCGTGACTCGTCACATTATCTAGGAACTGCAAAAATAAAAGATCAACAGAAAGGCATATAAGTACGAGACTACACCTCACAGTCACATCACAACACCCGAATCTGTGAAATATAACTGACACTCTACCCAAGCACACAGCACTTCCACTAATACAAAAGCAACAGTCTGATGCAGAGGATTGTCACTACTCTGTAATCTTCGGTGGATACTCACGATTATGTCTGCTTTGTCAAGCTCTTGGAGAGCGAAACGTTGCCACAGTAAAATGTCATATTAGTTGCACGTGTGTCCTTTTACTTAATAATTAATGTTTATATTTCATTTAATTGCTTAACTGTGTTCTCAATATTTTATTTTTTAGGGTAGACAGGAGATATTAAGTTTGTAACTATTTTGAAGATGTCAGTGACTGTCAAACACATGATCGATGCCACGTTCTTGACAGAATAAAGTGCACAGTAAGTACTGCACTGCTGCCGCTTCTCCCGAGATCATGTTTCGACATTTTTTTAAATCGGTGTTGTGAAGAGGTAAAATACAGAAGATTAAAGGCTTGTGTATGGTTTTCACTCTTCCTTTACGAAAATCTATGGACTGGATGTTCTAGAAGTCCCTTTAATTTTTCTATTTGGAATTATTTTTATTACCATTTATTTATAAGACATGCCTTATAATATATATTCATCGCTGGTCATTTGTAATATTTTTTTCTTTTTGTTTTTTTTCAGTACGTAGTGATGTTACAAGGGTGGTACCAGCCTCGACTGTCATTGTGGTGGTAACACTTCTGATGACTCTCGTATCAGGTGTGGAGTCAACCTCGACCCTGAAGATAATCTTGGCAGTCCTATTGATTTTGTTAAAAGTGGTGCCAAACTCAACCGTTGCTCCCGTGTTGGCACCTCGTGTGATTTTTGAAGCAGTCACGTGACTTGCCTACATACTCTGTATAAAAACTCTCAAACTAGAAAATATAACTTTGTTATAACCATGATAAATATAGCAAACTATTTCATGTATTCAGTGTTAGTCGCATCTGTTATATGTGAAAGAGAATCTTACAACACAAACACGCACACACACACTTTATATATATACATATAAAATATATATATATATAATATATATATATATATATATATATATATATATATATATATATATATATATATATATATATATATATAAAACAATGAATTTGCAAGAGCAGGCGAAATATACACAAACACTGATCTCTGGCCGAAGGAGATTGGACCTACGAACCTTGGAACAAGGTACGCAGTGCTATACCATTCTCACCACACTGGACCAATACCTTGGCGTCCAGCTTGCGCTTGACGTTGATCCAAGGCAGCCAGCTTTCAGGGAGAAGGCTTACAGCTTTTCATCTCATCCCCTGCATGCATCAGCCTTACTAGAGATAAGCATCAGTTAGGTAACTTTGCTATTGAAATGTTTCACCTACGTGACAGGCTTCATCAGTTAAATACAGTCTAGATTGTTCTGTAGAGAGCAGTTGTGTTGAGGTAAAGGTTGTGTAATCAGCCCATCAATCTCTGACAAATAATTTCAGGTGGTCAGAAGAGTTCATTGCCATAGTCTGCCATGATATAAAGTTGAAGCATGCGAATGGAGTCTTAATTACTGCCGAAGGTAAGGTATGCAAGATCTTGAAGACGACGTTGGGAATGGGCTCCTCTAGTAATTAAGACTCCATTCTCGTGCTAAACTTTTCTCCTGGCTGATGGATTGGCCACCTCAAACTATTTGTTCGAGATTGATGGAATGGCTACATCATCTTTACTTTGCCACTACTCCTGCGATCTACACTACATTCTCCTCTGTAGGGAACTGAAGCCTACCGCCTGGGCTAAACGTTTCAACAATGAAGATATGCATCTGTTGCACATGTGTCATATTCATCAATATGTCGGTATTCTATATCATTTTCCACATACCTGTTAGACACAGCAACACAGTTATATTGTTACAAAGGATATCTTCCACAAGTTTATCACTTAACTACAAATTATGAGTGAGGTTAGGATTCTAGGAGGACTTGCCTAATATGAGGCACTATGTTTGATGCAGTGCTTCTCAATTCTTGCCTTCCTTCTATTAACGAATCCCGTCCAGACCATGGAGCTGAACTCTTCTCCAGGCTGAAGGACTGGCCACCTCAAAACTTTTTCTCCAAGGTTGATAGAATGATTACATCTTTACCTCGCCTCTACTCCTGCAGCCTACAATACATTCTTCCTTGTATGTGACTGATGAATCCTACCACATAGGTGAAGCGTTTCAACAATAAAAATACCCATCTGTTGCACTTGTGTCTTACTCATCATCATGACGATATTTTAAACCATTTCCAGCACACACACACAACTTACATTTTGTTGTCATATAGTCCATCATTTTGTTTAATGATTTTCCTACTAATTCTCTTTCCCACTGATCATCGTGCAGAAGTTCCTGATGCCTGTGTAGTCCCCCCTTTGGCCAAACTACAAAAAGGGGGGACTAGACAATCACGAGAAACTTCCTGCAAGAGGTTCGCTAGGAAAGAGAATTAGTAGAAAAATCAGTAAACCAAATGAGGGACTATGTGACAACAAAATGCAAGGAAGCAGGGATGTTTGTTCCCAAGGTAACAGAAATAATGGGAATACCAGAACGAGTCTTTGATTCACCTAAAAGTGTAAAGAAGCAAAAACTGAGCTAGCGAATAGAAAAATTACAGAAGATAAAGGACCCAGGAAAAAGAGAGATTAGTCAAAGAGCCAGAAACGAGTATGCAAAGATAAGGAGGTAGGCTCAGCGACATTACGAAACGACATAGCATCGAAAGTCAAATATGACCTGAAGTTGTTGTATAGCCACATCAGGAGAAAAACAACAGTCAAGGACCAGGCCGAGGACAAAAGGTGGGGAGTTCACAATGAACGACCAAGAAGTATGCGAGGAGCTCAACATGAGATTTTAAACAGTATTCACAGTAGAGACAGGAAGGACTCCAGGAAGTCATAAAAGGGGGGTACACCAACAAGTGTTGGATGAAAGGCACACAACCGAGGAGGAGGTGAAGAAGCTGCTATGTAAACTTGATACTGCAAAGGCTGTGGGACCGGACATCTCTCCATGGGTCCTTAGAGAGGGAGCAGAGACGCTGTGTGTGCCACTAACAACAATCTTCAACACATCCACTGAAACCGGGCAACTACCTGAAATATGGATGATGGCAAATGTAGTCCCAATTTTTAAGAAAGGAGACAGACACGAGACATTAGACTACAGACCAGTGTCTCTGACGTGTATAGTATGCAGAGTCATGGAGAAGATTATCAGGAGAGTAGCAGAACATCTGGAAAGAAACAAGCTTATAAACAACAATCAGCACGGTTTCAAGGAAGGAAAATTCTGCGTCACAAACCATCTCCAGTTTTATGACAAGGTAAGAGAAGTAAGGCACTAGGGAGAGAGGGGTGGGTATATTACATTTTCTTGAACTGCAAAAAGGCCTTCGACAGTTCCTCACACGAGATTAGTGCAAAAACTAAAGGATCAGGCAAGCATAACAGGAAAGGCACTACAATGGATTGGAGAATATCTGACAGGGAGGCAATAATGAGTCATGGTACGTGAAGAGGTGTCAGAGTGGGCTCCTTTGATGAGTGTGGTTTCTCAGGGGGCAGTCCTAGGACCATTGCTTTTTTGGTATATGTGAATGACATAACAGAAGGGATAGACTCAGAAGTGCACCTGTTTGCAGATGATGTGAAGTTTACGAGAAGAATCAAACCTGATGAGGATCATGCAGAACTACAAAGAGACCTGGATAGGCTGCAAGCCTGGTCCAGCAACTGGCTCCTCGAATTTAACCCCACCAAATGCAAAGTCATGAAGATCGGGGAAGGGCAAAGAAGACCGCAGAGTATAGGCAAGGTGGCCAAAGACTGCAAACCTCACTCTAGGAAAAGGACCTTGGGGGTTTACCTGGAGATTACCTGGAGAGAGTTCCGGGGGTCAACGCCCCCGCGGCCCGGTCTGTGACCAGGCCTCCTTAGGTCAGTGTCCCAGGATGCGACCCACACCAGTCGACTAACACCCAGGTACCCATTTTACTGATGGGGAACATAGACAACAGGTTGAAAGAAACACGTCCAATGTTTCTACTCTGGCTGGGAATCGAACCCAGGCCCTCACCGTGTGAAGCGAGAGCGTTAACCACCAGGCCACCAGAGTATAATACCGAGCACATCTCCTGAGGTGCACATGAACCAGATAACTGCTGCAGGATATGGGTGCCTGGCAAACCTGAGAATAACATTCAGATGCCTCACTAAAGGAATCGTTCAAGACTGCACACCGTGTACGTCAGGCCCATGTTGGAGTATGCACTACCAGTTTGGAACCCACACCTGGTCACGCACGTCAAGAAATTAGAGAAAGTGCAAAGGCTTGCAACACGACTAGTTCCAGAGCTAAGGGAAATGTTCTACTAAGAAAGGTTAAGGGAAATCGGCCTGACAACACTGGAGGACAGGAGTGTTAGGGGAAACATGATAACGACATATAAAACACTGCAAGGAATTGACAAGGTGGACAAAGACAGGACATTCTTAAGATGGGACGCAGAAAGAAGGGGTCACAATTGGAAGTTGATGACTCAGGCGAGTCATAGGAATTTTAGGAAGTATTTGTTCAGTCAGAGTTGTCAGGAATGGGAATAGTTCGGACAGTGACGTAGTGGAGGCAGGATCCATACTTAGTTTAAAGACGAGTCTGATAACGCTCATGGAGCAGGAAGAGAGAGGGCCTAGTAACGGTCAGTGAAGTTGCGAAGCCAGTAGCTGAGTCTCGACCCCTGCAACCACAATTAGGTGAATACAATTAGGTGAGTACACAGCCGAACTCTTCGCTTCCAAGGCAGCGCCTGCCCGTCTGCCTCAGAATATCTAGGAGCTTCAGGAGGAACTACTGATATTTAGAGTCATTGTCATGCAAGAAGCCTGCGAGGAAGAGGACGTCACAGATGGTACTTCAACAGCCATCAAGATGTCCAAGGAAACTGCACCAGAAGCGGATGGCATCCTTTTAAGCTTTCAAGCTTAGAAAGCGATAGAGGGAGACTTCTTTGGGACGAAATTGTTAGGTCTCCTAGACACGATGACGTAGTAATAGTAGGGGATTTTAACTTCTTCAAATTGACTGGACAACTTTAATCATAATGTAGAAACCAGTGACTTCCTGGAAGTAGTCAATGACTTCTTTCTGAAGCAGTGTGTAACAGAGGCTACCAGAGGTAATTTGCTCGGCCTAGTCTTGTCCAGTGATCAAGTGATCACTGAAGAGCTAGGTGCAAGTGATCACAGTCTAGTCCAGTGATCAAGAGATCACTGAAGAGCTAGGTGCAAGTGATCACAGTCTAGTCCATTTGAAGAGCTAGGTGCAAGTGATCACAGTCTAGTTCAGTGATCACGAGATCACTGAAGAGCTAGGTGCAAGTGGTTAAAAATCTTTAACATTTATTATTATTTGGGATTGCGAGAATAAAAATAATTCGGAAAAAATCTCCGATTTTCCTTCTCCCGTTTTTATTAGACTCGGTAAACACCTGTTTTATCTCGACTTAAATAATCTAGCACATGATTTTCATACAAGACGATCTTACGATAACGAAGGGAACTACGTTTATGACAGTTTTCTTAATATTATATAAGAAACTATAGGTATATTGTCAGGGAAATGTCCTCCTCCTGATCAAAAGTTTGGGGAAAAAAATAACTTTCCAGTGAAAAATTATGGAAATTTTAAAAAGCATTTAATTAAATATAAAATAGGTCGCCTTCGGTTCAAGTGAGATCTTTGGACAGGAACCTTTTCATAATCCAGGATGTCTTCTTAAGATGTAATACAAATTTGTTCTTTATCCTTGGTAGGCAAAATTGTTGCCCATCCATGGGTATGGGATGAAGTGGTGCGGGTGTAATGGAGTGCCTTGGTTCACCTAGGCAGATGTGAGTCCTCACATTTTGCCTTATTTTTGGCCAGTAATACTCTAACAATATTCTATTAAGAATTTTTGTAA